CTTACTCACAAGGAAGGAGTGTCTGATTCCAGACCTGGCCAAGTATTTTTATGGCACTCTACATGCCGTCTTGCTGCCAGACACTTGCAGGGTTGACAAACTAATTTTTATGGTCATTCCTTTTCCTGATCCCTAAGAATTTTTCCATCTATTTAATGTATCACAAAATGCCACAAATGCAGATTTAAGACTTGGGTAGCACAGAGAGTGAGGGAGGGGAGGGGAAGAAGAAGTTAAAAGAATTAAAAATGTGCTATGTATATGTGCCAACTCCTCACAGGAATGAAGTTGTTATATACTGCAAACATGTACTAATAAAAATTTTAAAATACTTTGTAACACAGAGCTACACCCCTGGTACTGCAAAGCTAAACAGACACAGATGAAATTTCTGTGGTTGAGGGTGCAAAAATGCAAAACAACACAGCAATGTGTTCTTGCTTTACACAAGAATGTGCAAAAGAGATACTCATGGATAGGCTCAATCCCATGACATGAAAGGACTATAAACAAGCTTTTTCATAACTGTAAGAGAAATTCTAAATAGATGCTAAAACATCAGTTGCAGTGATGCACCTACAAATATCAGAGGGCAGCAGTGCTCAAGAAATGTGGTTCTTGGACTTTCACCTGGAACCTGGAAATGCAGATTCTCAGGCCCCGCCTCAGACTTGCTGACTCAGGAGCTCTGGAATGGGCTGAGCTTAAATCTGTAGGAACTCTGATCATACTTATCTTCAAGCGGGGAACTTGCTCACACAGTGATCGGAGCTGTTTGCATGGTTGATAGGAGCTGTTCTTTTGAAGGGCAGTTTGGATGGGAAGAGATGTGACATGGAGAAGCAAGAATCACCTGAACTAGTGGAGCTGAGTTGAGACCCATATGAGTCTTTGATCTTCAAGACTCCTGCATTCATGATGAGATGTTCTACTGGACCTCCTCATCGTGCTGTCAAATAGCATGATAGCCAGAGAGTGAAAGAAGTGGCAGCAAAGACCCCACACATTAGAGAAGCTGTCCATCCTGCTGTGAAAGGCCACCATCACCAGGTGGCCACCAGATCTGAGCTGCCACCTCACCACCGTTGGGTGTGAGGGAGAAGGACCGGTCCTCTACTCACTTTCTGTTCTTTGCAACTGGGTAGACTCGGTTCAGTAGAGATGGGAAGTGAGGGTAGGTGAGTATGGCTCAGCTCCACGTGCAGTACAAATCCACCACACTATAAATTTAAGCCAGCTTTCAGGAAACTTTAACAATCATGCTCTCTTTCTTGTTCCATCACGTATTTATTTATTTTTTGGTGCTGGTGCTGGTGCCGGTGATCAAACCCAAGGGCCTGGCTCATGCTAGGCAAGAGCTCTACCATTGAGCCACATCTCCAACATCTCCATCATTCTTTATGTGTAAAGAGACTTCTGGACTGTAAGGAGGACCGCGGTAGACTGCATTCTACTTACGAAGGACTTTTTCCTTCTCTCTCATTTATTCATTTATATTAGTGGAGACTTCAGTATTTCCTTCTTTCCTTTTTTCCTTTTTCTTCTTTCCTTCCTTCCTTCCTTCCTTTCATTCCTTTCCTTTCCATTTCTTTCTTTTCTAGCACTGGGAATCAAACGCAGGACCTTGTGCTTACCAGGCAGGTGGTGTGCCGCTGACTATATCCCTGGCCTGAGTCTTATTCCATTTTGTTCTACTAGTTATAATTTCTGTCTTTTTGTTTTGTTTTGTTTTAATGTTCAAAGTGTCCTAGATTTGGCCAACAGGTTCCTGTTCAACTTGCTCGTCCACCTTTTTAACAAGACATTCTTTGATTAATTTCTTACTTTTTCAAACAACATTTTCAAGGCTTATCATGTGCTTTCCCCATCCCAGTCCTGGATTCTACCTTTTCTCCCCCCAGGGAATCCTGAGTCTTTTTAGAGGCAATCAAGATCTGATATTAGTTCCCCACTGGTAATGTGTCATTGCTTCTAGGCACTAATAGAGGAAAGAGTGGGCACACATGTACACACAAGAGCATGCACACATATATACATAAACACACACCCACACGCTTGCACACAGGCAGCCATACAAGTCCATATACACACTTTTGACTTTTACACTCACATAGGAGTACATGTGTACACACATGTACTATAATTACTTAGGACACCTCCAATCTCCACTTTATTCAAGCAGCATGGAGAACATCTTAGTTATCCATTCTATTTCCAGAGTTGAAACGTCTTCCTCAAGCAGTGAGAAAACTGTATGTAGTGTATTTTACTCATTGGTCACACTGACTTATAACTATGGAGAAGAAAAGGTAAGACAAATGTAGTATTGCATGCTTGTAATTCCAGCACTCTGGGCAGTTCAGGCAGAAGGATCACAAGTTCAAACCCAGTCTGGACAACTTAGTGAGACTCGCAAATAAAAAAAAAAAATAACCAGACTAAGGATGTGGCTCAGTATGAAAGTCCTGAATCCCCAGAATGAAGAAGAAGAGGGTGATGAGGAAAAGAGGAGAGGAGAGGGTTGGAACAAGAAGGTGGAGGAGGAAGAAGAGAAAATGATAGGTGACAATAACTTTAGACCTTCACACCAGCCTGCGTAGCATAAGACAGACTTGGAAGAAAAATCTCCAGATTACAAATACTCATTGTCTATCTAAGATAAAACTAGTGGTTCAGATTGCATCTATAGTGAATCTTTGTATTGTGGTTTATATCTAGATACCCCCAAAGCCCGCATAAGCAGGGCTTTTAAAAAGTGATTGAATTGTGAGGGCACAGTAGCTCAATCTGATGTTAGGAGATGGGGCCTGAGGGGCAGAGATGGGGGGTATGCTGGGGGCAGAGATGCTGGGGGTATGACCTGGTAAGATGTCTCTCTCCCTCCTGCTCCTCCCTTCATGCTGTTGTCTGGCTGTCATGATGACAGCAGTGTGTCCTCTGCTATGATGCATCACTATATTTTCCTGTCATGGGGTCAGCTGACTATAGACTGAAAATGTGAGCCAAAATAAGCCTCTTGCCCTTTAAGTTGTTGTGAGTGTAGAGTATTGTGTCCCAATGATGGTAAAGTGACTAGGACAGATTTGTGGCACTGAGGAATAGACAAAAGAGTACTAGTACTAATAACCAGAGAGCTTGAAGCTGAACTCCCAGAATGACGCAGGTATCTAAAACTAAAAGCAGGTTTCCTTGCTAGGTAGCCTTGGGATAGAAAAGTACTAATGACCGAGCTAATCCAGCCAAATGCAAGGATCTCTCAAATTCATAGCAGGTGATAGGAGGCTTAAAGAGCGCTGAATATTTTTGCTAAGCATATTAAAAATAGCCAGGAAAGTGACAGAGTTGAGATAAAGGCTGGGGAGGTTACCAGTTGAGCATCATTAACCAAGGCCACACAATCCAAAATGGTCCAAAATGTGAAACTTTTGAATGCCAGATACACATGACCTCATGTGATACATCACAAAGTGATGTGCCACAAAGGCTGAAAAAAGGTGACCTAAAAATGATCAGGAGATTCAGAATGTAGACATATGAAATTAAAATTGGTTGGGAGGATTGAACTTGAGGCTTATGTAGTAAGGAAAAATGTTTTGGAAAGAATTCAAGCAAACAAGTTACAATACAAAGACTTGGAGAGGGAGAGATAGGAGGGAAAATGTACATCAACAAAAAATCACAAATATGATACCACCCCCACCCCCACATGGAAATGGCCAATATGTCTGTCTGTTATTTTCAGGCCCTTAGATATTTTTTATGCTTTCTTTGGGAAGGGAAATGGGAGGGAGCCGAGAGCCCTTATACAGGCTACACAAGTGCTGCCACTGAACTATAACCCAGCCCAAGACCCTTAGATAATAAATTGTAAAACTTCATTTCCATGAAGCAGAGTTAGTACACCACTAGTACCCAGGATTTTTAGCTGTAATTTTAGAATCTGAGTCCACTTCCACCTATTACCAAATCGACCTATCTGGGTCACTCCACTTTGCTTCTAGTTTCTTCCCAAAATGTGACAGTAATCAGATGATTTGGCTATATGTACAGAAATAAATCAAATTGAACTCACTATATTAGAAGGTCAGAGTCAAGGCTGCTGTGGCGGCAAAGAGTTCACCCGTTGATTCTTTTAACAAGCCTTCCACGTGTACCTACTCTTGCCAGGTCCTGTATAGGCCCAGGAATATGATGTTGAATGATACTTACCTTCCACAAAATCAGAAGACAGATGATGAGACATCATTAATTATATAATCTTGATGTCTTGATGTAAACTGTGAAGGAGGTTACAGAGAGAAACACAGAACTATGAGACCAGGTTCACTGGGTAGGTGAAGAAAGGTTTTCCTTTGGAAAGAGGTTGTAGTCAGCTAGGAAGAACAGTGAATCATAGCCAGCCGAGAGTGTGGTAGTGGGTTGTGCATGTGTATGGGGGTAGACAGGGGAACCAAAGGCCACTGTGATGGGGGAAAACAATGGGGGGGGGTCTGGCAGAACCTTGAAGCCTTCTTAAGGATTTCAGTTTCCATTCTAGAAGCAGTAGGCAGCTGGGGAAAAGCAGAGTTATTGAATATGTATTTTTAAAGACTGCACTGGCTTCCTTGTGGAAGTGGTCAAAGGCTTGTGTCACAGACAGGAGGACTTGTAGGGAGACAGATTTGGAGGGTATCGGTGTGGATCAGCATCATTAACAATGTGACATTCCCAAATGAGCTCAAAGGCTTGGTCCAGTGTGGACAGAGAGTGTGTGGGCTTAGAGATGGATGAGAAATGGAGTGAGGGAGATTTGTTCTTGACACCCCACAGTGTCTAGCTAGCTTATTGGCTGACATTTATGGCAGACTTTTGGAATGCTTCTACACATATGGTGGATGTCCTTCCTGATCACCTTCCTGGGCATTGACAATAAAGTTCTATATTGAGGCCCATTGGTTTCCTAGGGAACCCCTCTTGACAAGCTCAAGTCTTCTCATCCTACCCGTCCCATCCTTTTGCAGGTACCACGTGTCCTACCCCTACATCTGTTGAACATGCAGACATCCAGGTCAAGAGTTACAACTTGCACTCCAGGGAGCGATATGTTTGTAACTCTGGTTTCAAGAGGAAAGCTGGCACATCCAGCTTGACCGAGTGTGTGTTTAACAAGTCTGCAAATATTGCCCATTGGACAACACCCAATCTCAAGTGCATCAGTAAGTAGCCAGTTCCCCACGGGTATCCCCAAGGGTATCCCCAGTATCCTCCCACGGCTAAACAGAGAGCAGAGCTACAATGTGCTAACCAGATGATCCCATTGCATGCCAAGAAATCAGTGTTGAGGTCTGAAGTTAAATACATCTTCAGGCCTCTAAGCAGCGCTCCTGGACATAGAAATATCCAGGCCTTCTGGTCATACAACTCCAGGTTCGGATTCCGGTTCTCCACTTCTTGTATTTATTAACTTTCTGGAACTCTGGTTGGTCTTCTAAAAGTTGGCTCTGATGTCAGTACTGTGTTGTAGAATTAAGTTGGCCCTGGTAAATATTAACAGTTACTACCATCAGTGCCTGTTTTGAAATGATAACAAGACTTGACTGCAGACAGCACATGCTCATGAGCAGATTTGCTTCCAGGGAGACTTTTGGGCTTGTCACTTGGACTACAGGAAATACTCACTGTTCCTGTGCATTGGGACTCAACCAGGGGACCAGGATGGAGCAGAATTTCCCTTGGCTTAGACACTTGTGTAGAGTGAAGCTCAACAGCAAAGATGAGAGTGGCTGCAAGAATCAATTTTCTTTAACCATCCACAACTGGATAATCATCCTGAAAGAAGCCAAACACTTTGTGGGTAGAAGCTACTCAATGCAGTTTCCAGGAATACTAAGCCCTGTTCTGCTCCCCTCTTCCTTCCTAGAGAAAAATAGAAAGGCAGCAGTCTTGCAGGAGTTCTGATTTGCCAAGCACTCATTGTTGCTCAGCGCTTACCCAACTGCAGCTGAAAACATTCTCACTGACTACTTGTGAAGATGCCTAGTTCCTCTCTGGGACAGGGGTTGGGAGGCAGCCAGCCTACTGCAGGCTCCATCTGCTGGAAACTTTTGGAATAGCCAGACTTGCTTAAGGAATTTGTGGTGTTAGATGACCTGCTCCCCTCCTGCTTCTAGAATGCGAGTCAGACAGATGTCAGAGGGATGGGAAGAGGGAATCATACCACTTGTTTCCAGGAATCTCATGGCTAGGAATGCAGCACATAGTGGCGCTGAATGCAGTTGAAAGGCAAAAACCCAGTGAAGTCAGGGACAAGCAGTGACTCTGAAGCAGAGGCGGAAAATCAGGGCTATTCCACTGGTGGGAAAGTTGTGTTTCCTCAAATCTCCATATCCTTTGGGTGAATGAATCCAGAATGGAGAAGAGCTGCAGGCTCTGAACAAGGCTATGAGTGAAGAGGAAAAAAGGAACCTGGAACCAGTTTAGAACCCATAGTCTGGAAGAATCTCTAGGTAATCTGATTGGAAGATTCCACTCCTCAAACTTTTATGGCTAACAACTGATTTCATTTTCCCCCAGTCTCTTATACTTTTTTTCCTGCTAAACAAATGGGATCTAGTGACATATCATTTATTTTCCCATGAAAAACTGAGACTCAAACTGAGCTGATAGCATATTATGTCCAGCCCAAAATTTAAAAATGTTATGCTTAACCTGTGCAGTCATTTTGAAAATATTAGAAAAGTCATTTGCAATCTGTTTGGGCCTTTGGGTTGGGAAACATTAATTGTTTTTTTCCTGTTGTTCTAACTTGTCCTAGGAAGTCAGATAACACTATTATAAATTTAAATATTGATTTTTTTTTAATTTAGTTGTGCTCTGAAGCTACCCCAGTTTCCACCTTTGGAATCATAAATTCTATGTGGTTATCCTCTCTCCAGGAGATCCCTCCCTGACTCACCAAAAGCCAGTGCCACCCTCCACAATAGTGACAGCAAGGGTGACCCCAGAGCCAGAGAGCCCCTCCCCTGCTGGAAAAGGTAGGAATATTGGGAACTTCAAAGACTACCATCTCCAGCCCCCACACCCTACACCACCCTCACAGATTCATGGACCACTGTTGGTGTTCCTTTGCAGCCTCAGGCAATAGAACCCATTGGGTTTTGTTTGTTTTTTAATTAAAATTAAGCATAAGAACTTACAAGGGCTAGATGTTTTTTTAAAAACCAAAGTTGGTTTGATTTCACATGTATTCACATGATTTCACATGTGGGTCAGAATCCACAATTAATACGTCAGACCTTAATTAGTTGTAGACACTTACCCTTGTGAAGAACTGGGGAGGGTGTGAGATTTGACTTCGCTTTTTTATTAGCCTGCTGTAGTGCCATGGGAGCTGACACAGCAGAGGAGAGACAAAAGACTTTCATACACAACACACAGGCAGCAAGAGCATCAGCATATTCACATCAATTCCTTGTCTCTCTGGCCCTCAAGGATAACATAAGCAGACCTTCAGAGAGGAAGCCTGGACTCAGGGGACCTGAATGTTTTATAATTGACAGCAAACATGTCTGCTCGTCTCCAGAAGGTGGTGGTGTTTGTCTTCTAAGGCACTGCTACTTACACATCCTAGAGAAGACTGTCCAGGCAAAGGGTTGTTAGGCAAGATGTGTAGCAATATGAGGAACCCACGGAGAGTTATGTCCTCTGGGTCCTAAGCATCAGCAAAGTAACAATGATGTTTTCCTATTGAAGCATTACACAAAACCACTATATATGTATTTAGTCCTGAGTTTTAGATAACCTCCTATTCCAATTTCTTCAGCACTCTTTTTGATTGTCAAAAAGTTTGAAATCTGGTGTGCTAAATATCTTGGGATCATATGCCCTACATCCTATGGTACCCTTATTTTATATTTAACTCCTGATTTTTAAATGTCACATCATCTAGTTTGTGTCTTTCTCCAGCCATTTGTCCTCTCCTTTCCTCAGGTATGGGCATCTCTGTTTCTGTACATTCTGCCCTGCTTGGTCACACTTTCCCAGAGCCCTGGGCAGTGTGATCACTGACGAACTCTAATTGGTCTGGGGTAACCTTGGAATTAGGGTCTCTTAAAGCTTCCCAGCTCTAATACCCTTAGCCTGAATTGAGGACTATAGCTTGAGGAAGGATGGAGAGGCTTAAAAAAGGGTTCTGACATTGACCTCAGCCTGGCTTATATACTGAGACACCATCTCAAAATAAATGAATAAGAGTCGTCCTTCTGGCAAGTGACTTGTTTGCAAAGTGACTTGGTGGTAAGAGATTGAGATACTGGCTTACATTTGGAATAAAAGCTCCTTTAATCTGACTCACATCAGGATCACTCACAAGATGAGAATGATCTAGTAATTTCTACAAGCCCTGGCTCTAGGACTCAGACATTCAGTGGGTTGCCCATTGCTGAGACAAAACTATGCTCTCAAAGCCTCAGATGCAAGCATAACCTTTGACATGTGTGGCTTGGCTAATGGCACTTGGACGTCAATGCTCTTGGGGTATTCTGTCTGCTGGCAGCTTGGGCGGGTGAGGTACCAACAAAGCATTAACGGGTACAGAACTTCTCAAAACATGTGGCTGAGAGAACATGGGGATACAGGTCACACAGGCCGCGCCAGGCCTCTCTCAGTGCTTTGTTCCAGGGCTACATTTCTCAAGTTCCATATTTGTTGCAGTGAAAGGCCAATTTTTTCATAGAAAGTTATGTCATGCCTTACTGTTCAGGTGTAGCCATCTGCCAGTCAGAAGCAAAGAAAAACCTAAATGCCAGGCAGCCTCCTCTCGTAAGATCCAAGCTAAACCCCTATGCTTCTTTCACAAGTCCAGTGACCTGAGTGGATGAATGTATAACCCACTAAAGGCCAGTTTGCTAGGAGAGGGCTGGTCAGAGTGGGCTCAGTGGAATAAGTCCCCATGTTCACCCTTTGCTAGAACTGAGAAGACACTAGTGCAAGCATTTATGTTCTACCTGTCTTGAAATTTTCTACAGAGCCAGCAGCTTTATCTCCTAAGTCAGCCACCACACTGGCCACAGAGACAGCCACTGTACCGGGGCCTTGGCTGATGGCATCCACACTACCTTCTGTAAACACCACGGGGCTAGGCAGTCATGAGCCCTCCCAAACCCCATCTCAGACAACAGCAATGACCTTGGAGCACATGCCCTCTACTTCCCACGAGACACCAGGTTAGCAGAAGCTTTGCCTGAAGTCAGGCCAGTTCCCCACTTTCTGCTTCTGAAACTCGGATTCAGATCTGGCACACGATGTCTGAATAGCTTTATACTTTCAGTCCAAAGTCAGAACTGACCAAGCTACTCTGCTTGCTTCTACCTTCTGTAGCGCCTTAACCCGGCATGTCTTCTTGTGTCCCGCCATCGGTTCAGCAAGGGCGTCTTGAAATGAAACACCCCTCTCAGATGGGACATGGCTAACCTTCTTAACATGCTTGGCAGAATCTGTGCTAGGGCAGAACCTCTGAATGCTGGCTGCACGCTCCCACTGTGGGAGGGAGGTGGAAGCATTCCACAGTCTGGAGTCATGGCAGAAGCCCTCTGCAATCTGTCTGACCCTTCTCTAAGGCATGTCTGGTTCTTGGATGCAGCCTAGTGCCTCAGTGAGTTACGCTGCTTGTTCTTTGCTCAGACCAGTTTGGTTATGTTAGCTGTATGTTGCCTTAGGTTCTGAGATGAGATCAGCATTGTCCATTGTTTCTCCAACTTCTGCAATTCTAGTACCCTTAGGAGCCCTGCCTTGATTGAACTGTTCTCTCTCTTCTACAGGTGCTCCTTCACACAGCTCCAGAGGTGGAACAGGTGAGTACTTTCATTCATCTGGTGTGTTTATTATGATCAGGGCGACCCCAGACCTGTAAGCTGGGTAGCCCTGAGCAAGGCCCATCAGCACATCACTGATGGTGTCCTTTTTCTCTCTTAGAAGTATCAGCCAAGTATGGTGGTACAAGGCAGATGCAGTGGTACATACCAGTAATCTCATTACTTGTAAGGCTGAGGCCGGAGGATTACCGCAAGTTTGAGGCTAGCCTGGACTACATAGTGAGTTAAAGGCCAGTCTGAACTACATAGCATGACCTTATCTCAAAAAAAAGTGTCTCTATCATATAAGTTATATAAAAGTTATATAATGTTCCGCCAATGAAATCCTTCATTTGCCATGACTGTCTTAGTACTGGTAGCTTCTGTCAGGCTACTAATGTTGAAACCAGAGAGTTGATGCCCACAAAAAGGGTTTCCTGATTCAGCTGTTCACAGGTCTCCTCAACCAGGCTAGATCTGTGTCCAGGACATATTATGAAACCACTCTGCCTGCTGCTGCCACCAAGATGAAGCTGCCCAGCTAAAAGCTGTGTAGACCTCTCCCAGGATGGGCAGCATGCACTTCGCAGAGAGGCTGTCCAGATTCCTCAGCACAAAGGCTTCTTTTAAACAAAGAAAAAGACAGAAGACACAGGGTTAAAGAACCAAAGAAAATATGGGAGTATAAGAGGAAACAGAAAAATGGAAGAAAAAGATAAAAAGGGAGGAGAGGTAAGCTTAAAGAAGAAAGGAAGACAAAGAATGGAACCCAAGAGGCAGAGAGAGGTAGAGCTGGAGTGTGGCTCTGTAATCGAGCATCTGTTCAGTACTTGGAAGTCCTTGGGTTTAATTCTAGGCACTGAAAAAAAAAAAACAACCAAAACAAAACAGGGAGACAGAAATACAGGCAGTGATAAAGAATCTAATACTTTAGTATGATAAGCTTTAAAAAGGAGAGAAAAAAACACAGCGTGATGAGAGCAAAAAATACTTGTTTTCTATTCATAACTTTTCACCCTAGATGGGTCACATTTTGTACATATCTGCATTAAGTGTCATCTAGGGAAAATGTGGCTTTGGATACAATGGCAGTTAGTTGGTAACAATGATTTTTTTAACCAACTCGTGTACAAAGACAAAAACTTTAGAAAGGCTCTTTGAGGAGCATTTTCATGAAAAACATTGTGACATTTAATGACAAGGACATGGAAACAATACATGTTCACGATTTAAGAGGAGAGCAACAGACAAAGCAACCAACCTAATATTCCTCCTTATATTACATTCTGCACTAATCTTTCCACAGTCTTACATTTTTATTTTTTTTAACTAGTAATATTTTGTACCTGGTCTAAAAATCAAATGTCACAAAGGAAATACAGTAAAAAGTCCCATATCTGACTCGAAACATCTTTGCAGAAAGGAAGCAGACTTCTGCACATCCTTCCAGAGAGGCAATGTAAGAGCAAGCACAGAAAACATGTGACGCTGACGGCTGTTTCATTTTCACCTTTCTGCCCCTGCCTTTCACTCGGTGGCCTGTCCTGAACACCCTTCCACACCAGTACACAAAGCTTGCCTTGTTCTTTTGGACAGCCATAGTATATTTCACTGTGAAAATCTCCCTCTTTACATATGTGACTGCTTACAGTCTTTGGATATATTACAAACAGTGACTAGTAGAAAACCTAGAAGTACAGACACATCTATAGGATAAAAGGGCTACATGTAAAAAGTTCTATTCTTCAAGCAACTATTTGATTATAATCTGTACTAAATTATGATGTTTCTGGTTTGTGACTTTCACTAGATTAAAATATTAAAAATTCTTATTCAAGTTCTTTTTTTCTTTTTTTTTCTTTTTTTGTCTTTTTGAGACAGGGTGTCTCTATGCAGTTCAGGCTGACCTTGAGCTCACTTTGTAGCCCAGGCTGCTCTCAAACTCACAATGATCTCCTTGCCTCAGTCTCTCAAGTGCTGAGATTACAGGCATGCACCACCATGCCTGGTTTCTCATTCAACTTCCGAAATGTAAATATCACCTGAATACCTATACTTTACTTGTGCATAACAGGAATTGTGGAAATATAGAGATTTAAAAAATATTTTAAACTTTCATGTGTAAAGTTTCCTTCTTGTGAACTCTCTATAAAAATACCTGGGAGTGGTAGTATGTGCCTGTAATCCCAGCACCCTGGGAGATGAGGCAGGAGGATTGCTTATCTGGGCAAATAAGCAAGATAGCAAGAGCCTATGTCAAAATAAAAAATAACACGACTGAAGATGTAGCTCAGTGGAATGCACTGGATGCAGTCCATAGTCCTGGGGTGGGGGAGGCCAGCATGCCAGCTGCAATAGTGGTTTTTTGTTTTGTTTTGTTTTGTTTTGTTTTGTTTTGTTTGCGGTGCTGGGGATTGAACTCAATTTGCGCTTGCCAGGCAGGCACTTTATGCTGCTGAGCTAAATCCCCAGCCCTGCAATACGGTTTATACCGCCCTGTTCATTTAGTGCACTATTAGTGTATTTTGCAGAATATTATTATGCTTCTACTCTTCCATCTCTAAAATAAACTTGTTGCAGTCAATATGTTCAGCCTTTGACAGGAGCTTTTTCTGTCTTTGTGTCACTCATCTGCTCATTCAATATAAAGTAATTTCCTTTTCTATGTTACAGTCCTAAACTATGAAATGCAAATTTTTCATTAAAAAAATCAAGTGCCACTTTAAATTTACTTCAATCTATGGAATTTTAAAGGTTAAACTCAAACAATTGAGTATGTGGGCTGAACCCAACAATTTTATTTCATTTTACTTTAATATTTTAGTTCAGTTTAGTTTGCAGTGTTGGGGATAGAACCTAGGGCTTACTGCATGGGAAGCACGCTGAATCTCTAAATTCCCTTCCTAGCCCTGACCCTGACACTGTGTGCCTAGTACAATAAGAGGGAATGAAGAAGCCATAGCCCAGGAGTACTGAATTGATGGACTCTCCTGTTAAAACTGCCTCCTCTGATGCACGCACACAGCACTGTGGTCACTGGAACAATAGCACTTGCCAAGTTTGCCACAGTACTACAAGGAAGGACTGACTCTCCCTGTAGGTTCCCAGAGGATGTCACTCCATCCACAACAGACACTGACACTGTGTGCCCAGCTGCCGTCTCCATCTAGATCCAGCTGGCACCGAAGGCTAAATCGAGGGAGAGCCATGACCCTTCTGGCCTCAAGCACAATAATCAAGTTTTTCTCCTCTACTCCCTTCTTTTTTGAGACAGGGTTTCACTATGCAGTTCAGGCTGTCCTTGAACTGACTCTGTAGCCCACACTGGCTTTGAACTCACAGTGATCCTCCTGCCTTGGTCTCCTGAGTGCTGGGATTACAGGCAGGTGCCGCCAAGCCCGGCCTTCCTTCCTGCCTTCATTGCACCAAATCTTCCTTCAAATCCACCCTCTAACAGAAAGCTAGTGGGCTTGTCAGGTTAATTTATTGTCATGGTGATTCAGTTTCAGTTTCTTTACTAACTGAAAAGGAGGTTCAGGGTCTGGGTTAAGTCACCGAATTCCATTTGCTTTGCTTCTCCCTTGGTACAGCAGCCTTCTGGTCTCTTGAGCTTAAGTCTGCAGTTTTTCCTATTCAGTGAGAAACAGGAAGAAGCACAGTGAAAGTAGAAGTGCGGTTCCTAAAACTGCCTTTTCCAATAAGTCACTCCCCAAACAGTAAATGGAAGCCAAGCTGTTCAGTAATGTGGAACACCATTTACAAGAAGGTACAACACATCTGCTAAAAATGTGTTTCCTTTTTTTTGTCATAATGATTACTGTTAAGTCTGAAAATTCAAAACTCTTTCACTAATTTCTCCTATTTTGTTACTTCTTTTGTAACAACTTTTCTATATTTACTTACAATTTAGGAATTATTTCTGTAATCTTACTGTTTCTTCTAATCATAATGTCGTTGCAAAAATAGTTTTTGAAACAAAATTAACACTATCTTTAATCGCAGCATTTTTTTTTTTTTGTCTTTTTTGAGATGGGGTCTCGCCGTGCAGTTCAGCAATCCTCCTGCCTCAGCCTCCCGAGTGCTGGGATTACAGGCGTGAGCTACCATGCCCATCCCATCATTCAACATCTTAGTGTACTGCTTATTCCTCAAGACTTGCTTTGCTCCAGGAATAGTGGAGGCACATCTGTAATCCCAGCCAGTAAGGGGGCCGAGGAAGGAGTTCAAGAAAGTTCAAGAAAACCTGGGCAATTTAGTGACCTCCCTGTCTCAAAACAAACAAACAAAAAAACCTAAAGAAACTTTTGTGTATAGGGTATAGCTTATCAGAGACTATTTTGGATTTGTCTTTATTTCAACTAGCTACTTTCTACTCCAAATACTTTAAACATCTTTCCATGTTAATGCATGTACCCAAATTTCATAGTTTTGGTGGGTGAATAATATTCCATTATGTGATATACCACATTAATTACTTTTCTATTGAGATTTAGATGAACATCTTGAACATTTTTTTCTTTTCTCATTTTCTCTTTTTAACATCTTGAAAATTATCTTAAACAATATTGGACTGAATAACTTTCTAGTAGAATTAGAATATCTCAGGGCCTAGACTTCTGTTGTATCTTGCAAACTGCCCGTGAGAAAAACTGGACCAGTCTACACCTTGGTCACAGGGGCTGAAGGTCTCCCCACTTCCCAGTGTTCAGCTGTTCTACACTAAAGATGTACTCAAAGGTCAGGCCTTGCAAATGTTTCTGGTATACAAGCCATGGGCTTGGTCCTGGAGATTTGGTGGCCCCTGAACTGTATGTGACTGCAGCTCCTCGGTGAGGATGCAGCTTCTCCAGATGTTCACCCTTGTTACCTGCAAGAGGGCAACTGGTTGATTTTTGCAGGAAATTTCACAATAGTAAGGTGAAATTCCAAGTGGGAAAGTTGTTTTTAACATCTCTGTTCCCACTACACTTGAGCCTCCTTGCTTACCTGCAGAGACCTCCCCGTCCTGCCTTGTCTGATGATTCTCAGGTTAAGTCAGGGCTGCTCAGCCAACTCTCATAGGTGACCCTAGACTCTGTACCCCTCCCATGAACTCAAATGTTTCTCCCTTTCCTTGGTCTTTACCTTACCTTCCTCTTACCTGTGACACTGGCTCTAACACCTCTTTCTTCTTACCATTCTTCTTCCACCATAAAGTTGCATATTAAGAAGGAAATCTGTATGGAATTGGACAGCAGATCGCACTGGATGCTCATGTTCCTAAAGCAGTGAAGTTGAAGGAAAAAAACGACTTTGGGAGGAGCATCTCCGTCTCTCTTTCCTCCACCCAGGACATAGAAGCCCAAGCACCTGCTCCAATGCTGATCTCTCCATCTTTCCCATCACCCTGCTATCATCTGGAGCCCCTTCCTTTCCCTCCTGATCTGCTTCCATCCCTGTTCTTACCCCCATGCTTAAGAGCCAGGCCCAAGAAGGACCAGGACCAGGGGTCTGGAAGTTCAACCATCTGTGCTGGCAGCAAGGGAGTATGCTTTTGCCTAGAACAAATTAAACTGCAGGGCCCTGAAGAAATTTGTTAATGATAGCAAGTTGGTTGGAAAAAGCATTTGAATCTATGTTCAAGGATGGACATTGCTAAGAATTAACTGATTCTAAGCGAGGACCTGGAATTCTCACATGGTTCCACTCATTTCTGCTCTTTTACAGTAGCCATCTCAACATCTGTTGCTGTGATTTTTGCAGTGATTGCGGTACTCGTGCTGGTATGGTACTTTAGATCAAGGTGAGTGACACGGGAGAACCAGAGTCTTCCTTCCTATAGTAAAGTGCCGTACTATGAAGATTCTGAGATGCCCCAAGGAAGACTCTCACGGTCAGCCCCTTCTGTATCAGTCCAAAGAAGCATTGAGGCTGTGCAGGATTGACTCAGTCTTAGAGAGCCTTCACTACCCCCATTCCAGGCCATTAGTGTGAAAGGGGGCAGCCAGAGCCTGGCTGATGATGTAGGTGACAAAGTTCCTCAAAGCCAATTCTTAAAGAAAGAAGGGAGCCAGAGGTGTAAGTGGGTGTGTGGTAAAGTGTGCACTTAGAATGTGTGGCACAAGTACTGGGTTCAGGGCTGGGATATAGCTCAGTGGTGCAGTGCTTGCCTGGCCGGTGCAAGGGGTTGAGTTCAAGTCCCACTACCCATCCCCCCAAAAAGTACTGGGTTTGATACCCAACAACCCACCCCAAAAGAATACACTCAATGACCGATATGATGAATATGCAATCTGTATATTGTTCTTACGATATACTCTTCTGAATATTATTCTCGTGTGTGTCCATTCAATATGGGCATACTTCTTCATGGTGAACTTAATTCCATATTTCTAGCATTTATATTTCTGCATTTCAGTTTGTGCAATGTTTCTGCCACTTGCTGAAATATCAGATTTGTTTCTGATTTTTTGAGATAGGATCTCACCATGTAATTCAGGCTGGCCATGAATGCACAATGTAATACAGGCTGTCCTCAAACTTGTGGTAATCCTCCCGCTCAGCCTCCAAACCTGCATCTGCTGGGATTACAGATAGGGACCACCATGTCTGACATTTTTATCATTCTTTACCCAAACCCTCAATCAAAAGGCAACACTTGCACTTCCACTCTTTTTATTCACAGCTGATTAGTATATATATTTTAAACACTTAAACAAAGTGCTGAGGACGGTTTTAAGTCATCTGTATCAACATGATCAGGTCTGGTCTGTCCAGACTTCTGGTTACTCTTTCCTTTTCTTGTCCCTGCCATCTGCATTTCTTTTCAGCAAATGATTAGCAAAAGGTCCGGAAAGAGTGAATATGGCATGAATCATGCCAACAACACTGCTAAATCTTTGGTGAATGAAAGGTTGCAAAACCAAAGTAGGACTGAAATACTACCTGCACATTTAGGCATTCCAGGTTTCCCGTCTCTGATCATTGAGGACTAAGTGTTTTCTGATTATTGTGGACGGAGTCTATGTCTGTTAGTATTATCTACCCAAGCTGGATATGTACGTTTAATAGAAAGGATGACCCACTTATCTTTTTAAAACCTGTGAATTATCGGCTTTGCAGGAATATTCCCCAGCCACGTGCTATTGAAATGGAAACTGTGGAAGCAATCCCGATGGCTGGGGATACCAGCAGCAGAGAGGAAGACACAGGAAGACACAGTCCACTCAACCTCTGAAACTCAGGAAAACTAGCCAGGCTAAGCCTGGAGCGAAGGCTCCATCTCTGCGTTAGATGAAAAGCAACTGGGAGATACCAGGAAAAGGCCCAGCAGGATAATCAGAGGGCTCTGGCTTGATCTCATGGACTGTGCCTGGGCACATCCCAAAGGATTGAGCAGGTTCTCCTGCACCCAGCGGACGCTGCCCACCTGGCTGGCCTGAGTACACAGCCAGCTTCCCAAAATCCAAGCAGCTGCAGTTCTCCCTGGAGGGCTGAAGGCCCTGGAGGCCTCTCATTTCACTCTGACATTGATTCAGGACAGCTGAACCACTTGACTGTCTTCTCCATACCTCATCCTGACTTGCATTCTACAGAGAACAAGAACATTCTACAGAGAACAAGACTGTGGCTGTCTGATAATTACAAGGCTCTTGCTGGCTTGGGAAGACGGCAGCATTAGAGTTCCTCAAAATTCTCTCCTGTGTGCATTTAAAGGGAGCTGAGAAAGGCAGTAAACACATTGAGCCAGTGAATTCTTCTGCTATAAAGGAGAATTGAACTCAGTGACGTTTTACATATGTATGCTTTTGTATTTATACTTTCCTATTTGTTATAGCTACATGTATATATGATTTATATTTTGAAAGTGTACCTTGTATAAACAAAATAAAATATCTATTTTCAGTATTAAAAATGCACTAAAAGAATTATCAAAGCGAAATGTTCCACAAAGGAAAACAAGACAAAGAGTAGGAATGCAGAATTCAGAATGATTAACCTTGGGTTTTCTTTCTAAAAAGAGAAACCATGCATAGAGCTGGCACAGACTACGGATTTGTCACATAATTTGTAGCTGAAGAGAAGCAACATGATCTAATCATAGGCCTAATTCTATCTCATTTTACAGATAAGAAAACTGTAGACTAGAAAAGTTGGCCAAGGTCACACAGCTCAACTAATGCCAGAGCTTGAACAGAACTGGTACTGGCGTTAGGGGAGGAGAGGAGCAGGGCTGACTGGAAACTGACTGCCCACCACTCCCTGTATTTCCAGGGTAGCGAGGAGCCGCCACAAGCTTTTGGAAGGTAGGCATGGACACGGCGTCCCATCAACATGCAGCTGGAAGCGCTCCAGATGTCACTTCTCACAGACTTCCCAAATCATCAGTTTAGGGATTTTCATCAAAATTAACAGAAGCTTTTCCACATCGCTGCTTGGGCTTGCTCACAGCATGGTGGTCTTGGTCCAGTCAGATTGCTCACAAGGTGACTGAGAGAGTAGAAACTGTCAGGCCCCTTAAAGATTAGACCAGAAACCACTGCACAGCACTGGTGTTGCATTACACTGATCAAAGCAAGCCCCAAGGCCAGTTCAGGTTCAAGAGAAGGAGCATGACAAATGGAGAGAAGGGCTCAAGGGAAGCCATTTTTGTTACCGTCTACCATACTTGGCAGGGCCATTGGCAAACAAAACTTTTTTCTGTATTCAGCACTCTGTAAACACCAATATATCCTGGATGAATGAATGAACATGATGTAGGGTTTAGCACCTGCTATTCAGAAGGATCTATTTATTTATTTTCTTTTTTTCTTTTGAGACAGGGTCTTGCTATGCAGTTCAGGCCGGCCGGCCTTGAGTTTGCATCCATCCTCTTGTCTCAGCCTCCCAAGTGCTGGCATTACAGGCATGTGCCACCAGGCCCAGCAACACTCATTTCTAAAATTAATATTTGAAGTTGAAAAGGTACATAAAAGTCCAATGGACCTGAAAGCTCTGCAGTTATTAAGCTGTTAGCCCAAATGTCACCAGCTGGCTCTACCTCTAAATAATACACATGCTTTCCTTCCCTCATTTCTTGCCCTCCACAAATGTTTTCTACGAAGACAATTGATCATTCATCTTTCATATTTTGCCTTGATTTTCCTTGATCAAAAAATAAGATTCTTTTAGCTTCTTGTCTTTAAAAATATTCTTCTAGAAATTAAAAAGTAGCAAAACAGGAATCAACATACACACTTAAATATATCCCCATGTCTCTAATGGCCCACTCCACTTCATTAAGGGCCTTTTACTGTTAGACAAGAGTTCATCATGGCTTTAGAATAAATTTTTTTTAAAAGCAATTAGCACTCTGAGTCTACTTGTCTTCCCACACAAGTCTGTGCCCCTTTGAGGCAGGAGCAGCCCAATTCAAACCATAGATTCCTCTGCCTTCACCACTTGATACTCAAATTAATATGCGAATACTGTTCCAGAATTTATACACAAGAAGACACTATACTTAGTGTACTCCTTCCTTCCCCTAATAGTCTTCCAAATTTTTTTCCCTTTGAACAGATTTTATTTTCATTACTTGTCACTGAAACCTTCCTGATATGTGCCAGGCAGACCTATGGAGAATGACAGAGAGGCAGGGAAGTAATGCAGATCTGTGCTTGGTTATGTGCCCTAGAGAGGAGAAAAAGGGCAGGTTTCACTGATGTTCTGAGCAGCCCGTCCACGCAGTACGTTAGTTCACCAGATGTTTACAGGGCAGCAGGTCATTAATGGTCAGCTCTGGAGATGGCTCTGCTTCAAGCCTAAAGCTGTACCATATAAGTAAGCAAAGGCCACAGATGGGTGGGGACTATAGGGCAGGGAAGGGGATTACTGGGGACTGAACCCTGGTCCTTCACACTGAGCTACATTGCAGTGGTTTTTTAAAAACGATGACTACACCACTCAATCACTAAGTTGCTCGCACCAAGGCTGAACTTGCAGTCCTCTTTTCTCAGCCTTCCAGAGTGCTGGGATTACAAGTGTGTGCCTTTTAATGGCTTCTAACGGCACTGAAAAAGCTAGAAATGAGAATAAAAAGCTAAAATCCCTAAATTCTCAATTCAAACCATACGCTGAAACTTAAAGACTTCCTAGAACCATGTTGAATTTCATGCCTTAGAGATGCCACACCAGATACCTGAAAATACAACTTCAGAGTTGGAGCCCCTAAACTGCTAAGCAACAGACGCTGAATCTGCAGTCCCAAGTTTCCTAGCTGAAAGGCTGAGTATTCACTGGGTACTGAAAGGGACGGTGGTCAGGGGAGAAATGTGGACTCACGCATCTCCTCTGCTTTGTCCCGTGAAGCAGCCCTTTTCTGTCTGTTAATGCCCTACCGTTTCTTCCTTGGTTGAAGTGCTGTGCTGCAAAAGCAAGCCTGCTCTCCAGGTGACCCCGAGTACCTCAGGCTCTCAGATCACACAGAGCAGCCATGCAGCCGGACCACTGCTTCCCAAAGGCCGTCCAGCGCTCTGTCCATGCACTATCCTGTTTCCACTGCTTCCCTGGGAGCTGGCCACCGGGCCTCTCATGGGTCAGGCCCAGGGCGCATGCTTAGTCCAGCAGTCACTGCTGCACTGTCCTGTCTGCATCCACCTTTCCAGAGCCTGCTCAGCTCCTCTCCAGTGAGCCTTTTGCCTACTCAGAGGTGCCAATCTGTCTCTGAGCTCTTGTAGCCCTTACTCACAGTTCTGTTTTAATGTGATAATTACTAAATACTCCACTGTACAGGGGAAAGGGCATGACTTAGAAACCTGAGTGCCAAATGTTCATTCACTGCCCACCATTTGGAAAAAATACATGAGCTATCTGGATTGGCACCACTCAACTATAAAGTGAGGGTGACAGCACATGCACTGTCCCTCTCACAAAGGCCTGAGATCACATCTGAGACTTGTTTTTCAAGAACTGTACAACCTAACTGGGGCATGGTGGGATATACCTGTAATCTCAGCATTCTGAGCGGTGGAGGCAGGAGGATCACAAGTTTGAGCCTTGCTGGGCAAATAATGACTTTTTGATATCCTTCTCACAATAAAAATTTAAAAAGGGATGAAGGTACAGCTCAGTGCAAAGGTCCTGGGTTCAATGCGAGAGGGAGAGGGAAAATTGGGAGGTAGGACAAAGGGATGGAATGAAAATAGACAACGGATAGGCTTTAGCCTGGCCAGAAAGGGAAAACATCAAAACAAACAACAGAGCAAAGCAACTTACACTACAAGACAATAAATGCTACAGAACTGTGAATATGTTACACAAATTCTGTAAAGGCAGAAATCACTAAAAAATCTAAATATTCAAGGATCTCTTTAGAATCAGCATGTGTTGGGGGTGGGGTGAGTGGAATTTAAATAAATGCCCAGGAGTATTCTAAACAGGAAGAGGGACAGGCAAAGACACAAACTGAGAAGCAAGCATCCAGCTCAGGCAAGAAAGAGCACAGCAGTCGGGCAGATGGGCTGGTAAGAAGGCAGAAGTAGACTGTGAAGCATCAAACCTCAGAGGAGCAGGGATTCTAGGAGGATTGCCCAGAAACTCTGTTAAAACCGAAACAAAAGCAGCCTGAAGAGCAAAGATTCTGCCAATCAGCAGAACCTTGTGATCTCAATGCCACGTCTCTGGCTCCACCCAGGCATTTCCTTCCAGTAGACATCCCTGCGCCAAATATAGGAAGTTCTCGATCTAGAGCTGATATTTCACATCTTTGGAACAAGAGCCAAAAGTACTAATTACAAAACAGATGTGTAGTCTTCAAAACTCTCTTTGAGATAAATGCATCCCAGCCAATTCCCGTTGCTCTAGGACAAAGTAGGGCTGCAAGTGGTTGCAGGTGTTTTCAGTGTTCCTGGAGGATGCAGAGGCAACAGAGGGACAGCCTAGGACAGCCGAAGGTAGAGAGCTTGGAAGGGATTCTGGGTTCTCATCCTGAGTCCTATAGAGTCACACCAGCTACCCCTTCCAACAGTCCTCCTTCCTAGTGAGAGGTTTAGGAATGGTAAATTAATCCCATTTTGACAACCTGTGGCCTCAACTGGGAGGCTTCTGGGGTTTTCTTACTACTAAGAGACACAAAGACAAGCTTAGCCCTCTTTCTGATATAGCTGTGTCTGCACACAATGCCTGAAACACCCTGGACAACTGGTCACCAGAGAGGTCAGGCTGGGCACAGCTGTCACAAGGATGACAGCACATGGAAAACACCAAGTTCTTCAGTACTGTTACATAACTGAGACAAGATCCCTAGTAACGTCTGCTCTGGACTCCTGCATCAAGTCATCACACTTTTAAGGTCCTTGAGAGTTTTGCTTATTCACAGCAAAAACCATAGATACTGAATGTGGTAATGCAAAGTATGGATGTTGGCGCTGGTGTGGTGGCGCACACCGGTAATCACAGAATCAAGACTGAGGCAGTACATCGGCTGCAAGCTTGAGGTCAGCCTGGCCTACACAGTGAGACCCTATCTCAAAAAAACAAGACAAACAAACAACAACAAAAAAGTGGATATTGTAATAGGCCCTAAAATGTGGAACTGGCTTAGTAGAGGTGGCAAGACAAAGGGTCATTAAGATTCCTACTGTGTTAGAGTATCAGTGACCCTTGGTTATGTGGTTATGGAACAACTGATCACAGTGCTGCTGGATTATTATGGGTCCAGATTAGGAAAACATGTATTAAGAAAATGATTACTGGGGCTGGGGATTTAGCTCAGCGGCATAAGCACCTGCCTTGCAAGCAGGCAGTCGTGAGTTCGATCCCTGGTACCGATAAAAACGAAAAAGACCAAAAAAAAAAAAAAAAAAAAAAAAAAAAGAAAATGATTACTTAAAAAAAAATCCTGTACCATTGAATCACCCACTTTTAAAATGCAAAAGA